CATGATTTTGACTTATTGAGAATCTGTGAAGAGATGTTAGGTATAGAGATAGATCTGATAGAATTAAAATATATATTAAAGATCTTGCTTACTGACCCGAAGATGTTTCATTAAGAATAAATATTTTATAGATTATCATAAAAAAACAACAAAAAAAATCATATTTAATAAAATCTTTGCGAGATTTCAAGTAATTTGTTTTTGAAAAATTTTTAAAAAGTTGAAAATGACTCGACGATAAGATTGCTTGAGAATTTTTGTCAAATATATTCTATCGAAAAAGTATGATTGGTGTGTTAGATGTGTTTAAAAAATGTTAATTTTTATTTGATCTATGTAATCGAATTTTTCTATATCGAAATAATCTGATAATGCCAAGAATAATAATACCCGAAATAAAAGAAAATGTCGTACCAGTAACAATATAAAAAGCATATAAATTTTGTTCAAAATTATTTAATAAATTCATTCCATATAAACCTGTTATAAAAGCACCTATTCCAAATCCCATTGTAATAATATTAATTTGAATTTCAAATCCAATAAGTTCATTTCTAAGAGCATCAAGCATAAAACCTGTTGCATTTTCAAGTGTATGAACTGAATCAGAAAGATCAGATATTGATCGACGTACTTCAGCCATTTGTTTAGCTGATGCTTCAAGTAAAAGTTCAATTTGTACATGATCAGATATATCTCGTTGACGTTTATCAGTAAGATACATTCCAATCATATCTTCATCTTGTGCAAGTACATCAATTATTGATTGATGTGCAAGTTCAACATTTCTTTTATATTTATCGATTTTTTCTTTAAGTAAAGCAAGTTCACGTAATTTTTCAGGAGTAATACGAGTATATGCACCTTCTCGAATATTTTTAAATTCATTTAAAAGTTGATTTATTTTTAATTTTAATCGATAAGTAATTGTTTCTAAATTAATTTCAGTTATTTGAAATTCAAATGGAATTTTATTAATATTATTTAATTTTTTATTAATAAATCTTTCATTATAAAGTTTCGATATATATTTAACATTTCGATTATAAGATTGAGTAACATATTCCCAATGAAGAGCATCTTTTATTCCAATTGGTTCTTCTAGAACTTTATCAGAAGATGGAACAAAAAAAATACTTCGATTATATTCAACTAAATTTCGAAGTCTTCGATATGAAAAACAAATAAAACGATTTTGACGTACATCAATTATTGGAACATTAATAATAATATCAGTATCAATTTTTTGTAAATCTCGTGGTTCAAGATTATATTCTTGACATATTT